GGAACTTATATAAACACTGAATATAAGATAAACTTTTGATCTAGCGGGAAAATCGCTAGAATGGTAACACTGGATCTAGAATTAGACAAGGGTAGTGATTCGGCAGCTTTAGTGTTCTATCTGTTCCACCTGCAAGAGTTGGTTCTGTGTCTGTTACTCTGGCAATGGAAACCTCATGTCGAGCTGTCGCACACGTTTTTCCTCTGAGACAGTGAGAGGAAAATGAAAGATAGATCATTCAGACGTTAACTTGTCCGAACAGTCATGAAGGAATGCTGAGCCTGCTACCTTTTCAGACTTCTCTGGATCGCTGACAAAAGCCGAGATAGAGCTTCTGCCAAAAGTCCTTCAGAAGTTAGATGTCAAAACAGATGGGGAAGGCCTGCGGGCTCTTGCTAGGAGGCTGCCGCATCTCAAGTATCTTTACAGCCTAGGTAAGAGTTCTTAGTCCTTTGTGATATGTGTTGAATTCTTTATGACGTGTATGAATGGGAATGGTGAATCGGTTTAGCTAAGAGACAGTAATAACAATATCAAGAAAGTCATTGTAGTTGTAATTATCGCGTTTAAGCTTCGAACTTGTGAAATCTGTACAAACTGCACCTATGACAACCATTCCCTTCCTTCTCAGAAATATGCCTGCTGGATTGTCCCCCGCCTGACACACTGCTTGCCTTGCCGTACGAAGGGTTCTTGAAGCTGAACCTGCGGAAGGTCTCCCCCCCGCATTGGTTGTGGGTGTGCGACGCCCTGCAGGTGCTCCTGACCACGCGAACGGAGAAGGCCCTTGTCCTGTTCCCTCCTTGCTGCGGTAGGTCCCTCTCTTTCATTCCTGTTTTCTGCAACAGATTTTCTGTCTTACTAAATGTATGGAGTTGTTCCCTTCATTATGTTAGGTGGTGTTTCCCGCTTACTATACTCCGTCCATTTTCATAAAAGGAAGAAATGGCTACTCACCCTGGGCTCTATCATCCTCTGATTCGCCAGATCGCTTTAGAAAAAAATGATAATTATGTAGTGTTGAAGGCACCAAATTTCAGTACCATAGTAATACAGATATCTGTATATACATTTCCAAAATCTAAAATTATGTTAGCACAGATATGAGGAACAAGGTGAGTAGAATGATGATAATAAGCAGTTTGCGAGTAGGACAACTTCCATGGATCGGGGTGAGTTGCCAACTGGTCCTTTTCGGAGGCTGGACGTATTGTAGATGGTGATCCCCTTCTATCTACATTATGTGGTGCTCCCCTTATTTCCTCTTAAGATCCTGAAGTCATACTCGACCTTCCTCAGCCTTTGCCATAGCGCTCATGTCACCTTGCCTTACGACAGATGAAATTTTCGAGACGATTGAAGAAGAGCTGATCCGACGCGAGACGATCAGCGTCCGGTCCTTCGTGTCTTGGCCAAAGCAGATTAATGTCGAAAGGAAAAAAGGACCAAAAGTATCTGGAAGAGGTGAGTTTTGGCTTGGAGTCTGTCCGTCACATTTCCCTGAGGATTCGCAGGATGATTTTGCCATCAGTTGCCTGTCCTCTTGGAACTGCATGAAAGCAGATTTTAAGAGAAAAAGTGAAACGATGATTGAAACATTTTATTTCTCTTTCTAGAACTCTCGGACTCTCGAACTTCCTTAGTTTAAAAAAAAACAGGACAGCAACCAGAATGAAATGTAATTGATATTCTCAAAAATGATCTTTATATTCAGAGAAAGAGAAGCATTTTTTAACAACCAATGCCTGTTTCATGTCTTCCAGGTTATTGCACTGTGACCTAAGAGGAGTCATCGAAGGAAGTCATGAGAAACAGGCGAAGAGAAAAGAGAAGTAAAACGAAATTGAGATAAACTAATTGACTGATAGATTACGAAGGAAACAAAATCCCTGACTTTTTGGGTCAGTCAGCCTCCCCATCACGTGGTGACACCAAAATAGATCCTGACGAGGTTGTTGGTCTTATTCGAAACCTGATGACACTATTGTTTCTCTCATCATCAGGCCTGAGGTTTCTCTCGTTTTCTGTTCTTGTGTCTTCTGAGGCACCAGCACTGTGAAGCGAAGGATCCTCAATAAAGGCTGAGAATGGGAAGCGATGAAGGCTCAACGAAGAGTAGGGATAACGAGGGAATCGCAATAAAGAATAGGAATAAGGAGCGAAGGAGACTCGATAAAGAATAGATGTAAGAATGGAACTCAGTGGTCTCCCTTCCTCGAGCAGTGCCATATGGTCTTCTCTTATATTTTCCACATAAGTCTTTTGGTGCTACACAGTCCTCTCATTAATTATATTTACGTGCCAAACTCTGTGTCATACACTCTCTCTCTCTCTCTCTCTCTCTCATAATAATAATAATAATAATAATATATAATAATAATAAATATATATATATAGATAATAATAAAATAAAAAATAAATAAATAAATAAATAAATAAATAAATAAATAAATAAATAAATAAATAAATAAATAAATAAATAAATAAATAAATAAATAAATAAATAAATAAATAAATAAATAAATAAATAAATAAATAAATAAATAAATAAATAAATAAATAAATAAATAAATAAATAAATAAATAAATAAATAAATAAATAAATAAATAAATAAATAAATAAATAAATAAATAAATAAATAAATAAATAAATAAATAAATAAATAAATAAATAAATAAATAAATAAATAAATAAATAAATAAATAAATAAATAAATAAATAAATAAATAAATAAATAAATAAATAAATAAATAAATAAATAAATAAATAAATAAATAAATAAATAAATAAATAAATAAATAAATAAATAAATAAATAAATAAATAAATAAATAAATAAATAAATAAATAAATAAATAAATAAATAAATAAATAAATAAATAAATAAATAAATAAATAAATAAATAAATAAATAAATAAATAAATAAATAAATAAATAAATAAATAAATAAATAAATAAATAAATAAATAAATAAATAAATAAATAAATAAATAAATAAATAAATAAATAAATAAATAAATAAATAAATAAATAAATAAATAAATAAATAAATAAATAAATAAATAAATAAATAAATAAATAAATAAATAAATAAAGTTATTGCCAAACCTGATGACACTATTGTTTCTCTCATCATCAGGCCTGAGGTTTCTCTCGTTTTCTGTTCTTGTGTCTTCTGAGGCACCAGCACTGTGAAGCGAAGGATCCTCAATAAAGGCTGAGAATGGGAAGCGATGAAGGCTCAACGAAGAGTAGGGATAACGAGGGAATCGCAATAAAGAATAGGAATAAGGAGCGAAGGAGACTCGATAAAGAATAGATGTAAGAATGGAACTCAGTGGTCTCCCTTCCTCGAGCAGTGCCATATGGTCTTCTACTTATATTTTCCACTAAGTCTTTTGGTGCTACACAGTCCTCTCATTAATTATATTTTCGTGCCAAACTCTGTGTCATACACTCTCTCTCTCTTTCTCTCTCTCTCTCTCTCTCTCTCCGCTTCTCCTCTCTCTCTCTCTCTCTCTCTCTTCTCTCTCACTCTCTCTCTCTCTCTCTCTCTCTCTCTCTCTCTCTCTATTTATCTATCTATCTCTCTCTCTCGCTCTCTCTCTCTTCCACAGAAACACTTCATTTAGCTGTGTCTCAGTAGCAGGCTATGCTTTGGTTTTAGTGCAAATGAATTATGCCTCAAGTCAAGTTTCACAAATTATATTATGAAGTTCAGAAGGGTTATTGTATAGCTGTCCTAGTATTGATTCAGGACTTATGTGTTTCACAATAGATATATTTTCCAGTAATATAACTCATCACAGTGTCTGAAATAAAAGCTCCAGTGTTTGGTTTCCCAATTTAAAAAGTTCCCATGTTTGATTACCCTTCTTTGAAATAGGATTTAAAGACGCTTTCCCCATACCCGCCTCCCCCCCCCCAAAAAAAATAATAATAATAATAATAATAATAAATATATATATATAGATAATAATAAAATAAAAAATAAATAAATAAATAAATAAAGTTATTGCCAACGCATCGGCTGTGAACTGCACCCGAGTCAGCCCACAGCCTACCGACCCGGTCATCGGTCGCCGTGACCCGACCAGACAAACACACAGACACACAGACATAGGGACTATGATTATTGTGGACGGATTTACTGTGATATTGATAAGTATGATAAAGCTAATGACACTGATGGTTATGATGCAGACAGACAGAGGGGCTAATGATTATTAAGGACTAATGTACTATGATGTTGATGATTATGATAAAGATAATGATATTGATGATTGTAATAATAATAGTATTGATAATAATGAGGATGCTTATGGGAGGAGGCATACACACATAAGGGATAATGATTATTGAAGACGAACATACTGTTATTAATAGTTATGTTAAAGATGGCGATAATGAACTTCATAATAATAATAGTAATAGTAACGATTTTAATGACAATAAGGATAATGAAAGCAGTATCTATGATGATCATAATCATTATTGTCATTATTATCACCAACACCGTTATGATGTTTATGATATGAGAATTGTGATACTAAAGATAATAGGAACCATGATAGCAATGAAATTCTAACGTGAGTATTGATAAAGATAGTAATAATGATAGTACCGAAAACTTCTTAATAGTCCGTTTCCATATAGGGGATAAAAAAAATACCCAGTGGATAATATGTTTTAGTTCGTTACCCTCATGGAGTCTAATAGATTTTATGACCTTTTTTCTTTATTTTTTTTCTTCTTCGTTCTTTTTTCGTAACTCTATCATTTTCACTCGTCATTGAATTTCCATAATGCCTTCAGTGAGAATTATTTCTTGACAAAACCTTAAAATACCACTACACACTATGATATCCAGAAATGCAATCAGAATACATCATTAAGCCACAAAAAATAACAATACATTTAAGAACAAATTGACACAATAAAAAGCAATCCCCATTCATGTTCATTCCGAATCCCAAGCAGCGAATATTTTAGGCTCGTC